CCCCCCACACATTGTTTTTCTATGCAGGTTAAATCTAAAATCTCCCAATGCTCACCAACTCTAACCAACAATGACTTAGTGACCACATCTCTTACCAACTTGGAAAATGACACAGTGAGGACATCATTCCAAATCAAGAGGTATGTTATACTAGGTGACCAAACAGAGGTGAGAAATAACACTTTTTCCCTTTAAAGATAGATAATCTATGGTATATTATCAAGTGATTTACTTATAAATAGCGAGTCTTATGTGAAAGTCTATTGACAAAGATTTTGCTCAATAAAATTGTGAAAAAGAATGTTAGAGATGATCTTAATTTGGCTAAAAGGACAGTTTTTCGTAGACTATTAACGAGAAATACAATACGTTGAGGGAGAGTTTTCGTAATTTTCGTCAGNCTCAATAAAATTGTGAAAAAGAATGTTAGAGATGATCTTAATTTGGCTAAAAGGACAATTTTTCGTAGACTATTTAACGAGAAATACAATACGTTGAGGGAGAGTTTTCGTAATTTTCGTCAGCATTGGGCTTGGCCAGCCTAGCCCAACCATTTATTATATGTTGGATTGGGTGGTATAATATGAATCGAATCAAAAGAAATACAGAAGAATAAAATGTTTTCGAAATAGACTTGNCCCAACCATTTATTATATGTTGGATTGGGTGGTATAATATGAATCGAATCAAAAGAAATACAGAAGAATACGATGTTTTCGAAATAGACTTACAACTAAAAGTAATAAGATAGTGATACCAAAACAGTTTTGGTCTGACAAGATTAGTTGGTTGCTTAAAGTCATTTGTTGAATAGAATGGCTCATTGTTCTTTTCTTTTTGACCATTAAGAATAAGGATTAATTAGAATATTATGACCATTTCGTCATTTTCACATTGTACTTTAAAGTATTAATGTTGTTTTATATTATATCACTTCAATAAATAACAATTGTCATTTTTTTGACTATAAATATGTATGTGATTGGTTTGTACTATTAATAAGCAACTTCTTATTACACATGTGCATGTCAAAAATACAAAAAAAAAAAAAATACTCATTCATGACTTTGTCCTTCCTAAACTCTAAATTTTTTTTCTCTGGCCGGCCTTCTTTTTCTTCACAACAACTTTTTGGTTGTAAAAAGAGATAAATTAAAGTAATACTAAACACTTTGAGGGAAGTTCTTTGGGGGGGGGGGGNGGGGGGGGGGGGGGGGGGGGGGGTTTTCCCTCTTTTGACAGATTTTTAAGTTTATCGTTATCTATCAAAATAATATGAAATAAAATTGATATTTTAGGATATAATGTAAGAAATTTTATAGTTGAAGATATAAAATAAAATAAAGATAATAATTTAGAGGGATAAAGTGTAATTTACTCTAAGAGTTACCCAACTCTCTCTTTCTTTCTTTCTTTTTCTTTTTTTTTTTCTTTTTTTGTTAATCGTACAAATAATTTCTTCTTGACTGAATTAGTTCAGATCCGGAGAGTTAGCAGTTTCAAGTTTGTTTCCGACATGCTTGGCTTGACCTTGACAAAGGACTTTTCCCCAAAGCCTAGGCTGCCTAGCTATTATAATAAGAAGAATAATGTAAGTTTGTTTGGATTATTTTTAGCTTGAGGTTGTTGGACAAACCTACCACATATCTTTCTTAATATAATGGTTATGAATGATTCTGTTAAACTATGTTAATAAATTAAGTATAATTATCATTACTCTTAAGGGTTAATCTCAACTTGTACTCTGTAAAATCACCTGAATTTTAATTTATACCTTTGAAGTTTAAAAATATTAATTTATACCTTGAAAGACATAAATTCGTAGCAATGTGCATCTGAGATTAAATCCGACCATTTAACCATTAAAAAAAGTTGAGCTAATTATAAATTGTACCCCTCAAAGTTTAAATATTTCATATTTATGATTTAAAAAAAATTTACATCCATTAATGCTCATTATAACTCTCAATTGTATCGTATCATAGCATCTTCATGTAGTGTTCGAGTCAGTACAAAAATATTTTTAAAATTACAAAAAATTATAAAATACTTATTTTTTGCATATAATACTTGTTAAATAACTATTTTTTTATCTACAATTTGACACAAATCTTTTGATTGTCCGATCAAATTAAGGTTAGATACAAATACCACAACTATAGATAGAAAAATAGTAATTTAATGAGTATTATAAACAAAAAATAGATATTTTTTAATTTTTAAAAAATATTAAATATTATTATATAAATTGTCGTAAATATGAAATATATGATACAACGTAATTGACTCGACATAAAAATAGTGTTAAAAATATTTTTTATTGACTCGAACACGATACGAAAATGTTATGACACGATACAATTAATAGTTATTTAGCGAGTATTAATGAATGAAATTTTTTTTGAATCATAAATGTGAAATATTTAAACTATAAGAAGTGCAATTTATAACTAATCTAAACTTTTTTAACGGAAAAATAAACAACAGTTAGTCCNGTATTAATGAATGAAATTTTTTTTGAATCATAAATGTGAAATATTTAAACTATAAGAGGTGCAATTTATAACTAATCTAAACTTTTTTAACGGAAAAATAAACAACAGTTAGTCCCAAGTTCACATTAATATGTATTTATATTTTTTAGGATATAAATTAATATTTTAAAATTTTAAAGGTACAAATTAAAATTCAAGTTATATTTCAAAATGCAAGTGGAGATTAACCCCAACTATAAACAAAATGTGACGAACGAGAATCTGTGATTCATGGGCCGGATCCGAAATAGCCTGACTAATGGGTCAAATGAAAAGCCTAACCAACCTTGTCCAAAGGTGCCAATGAATCGAACCAAGCTAGCAGCCAGGTTTATACGTTCACGAAAAGTATTTTNGTCCAAAGGTGCCAATGAATCGAACCAAGCTAGCAGCCAGGTTTATACGTTCACGAACAGTATTGNAGAATCTGTGATTCATGGGCCGGATCCGAAATAGCCTGACTAATGGGTCAAATGAAAAGCCTAACCAACCTTGTCCAAAGGTGCCAATGAATCGAACCAAGCTAGCAGCCAGGTTTATACGTTCACGAAAAGTATTTTTATCTTCGCTTAAACTTTTGACAAGTTTTAAATATCTTGTTTAAACACAAATCGTCACCGTTTTGTTCATGATTAAGCTTCATTCGACCCGTCTTATCTAATTAAATTTACACTTGTGTTTAAATTTAAACTTGAATTTCAAATCATATTCAAGATCAAATTCACCCGCAAAAAATTGATTTAAAATGCACAAAATGTATATATTTGTAGGTATATGTTGTGTTTATGAGCTTTACAAATTCAACAAGGTGTTACTTGATCTCGATTCATTTACGAAACAAGATTAAAGATAAATTCATGTTCAATCCATTTTATTAAGGCAATATCATCATAACATAATTTGATGATTTAATTTTGAAACTTAGCATGTTGTAATAATAATTAAATTCTCAGTTTAATATAAGTGGCATTATTATTTCATGGGTTGCTTCTCGAAATATAGTTCGAATATTTATTTGTACCTTTAAAGATCAAAAATTTTAATTTGNGCATTATTATTTCATGGGTTGCTTCTCGAAATATAGTTCGAATATTTATTTGTACCTTTAAAGATCAAAAATTTTAATTTGTATTCTCAAAAATAGAAATCTGTATCAATGTGCACCTCAAACTAACATTTGTCAGTTTGCCGTCTAAAATTAAATAAATAAATTATACTTATACCTTCTCATACTTGTCACCNCTCGAAATATAGTTCGAATATTTATTTGTACCTTTAAAGATCAAAAATTTTAATTTGCATTCTTAAAAATAGAAATCTGTATCAATGTACACCTCAAACTAACATTTCTAAAATTAAATAAATAAATTATACTTATACCTTCTCATACTTGTCACCTAATCATCTAGACCTCACATTTAAAATATTACACATACATCCCTTTAGAATCCAAATATGACTAACCATGCACCATCAATTGGGCATCCTAAGAATTTCTTTTAAATAATGTATTGTATTTTATATAAAGAATATTATATAAATACTTGCATTATATGAGTATTGAAATAAAAAACTTGATTTTAAACTTTAAACTATAACATATCCACAAAATAAATGGTAGTATGAAAATTATAATTTTTTTTTAGGATGAAATCATATTTTTTAAAAGTTATATTAACAGATATCAAGGATAAGGGGTTATATGTTACACGTTCATAAACATTAGGAGCTGTAAGAGTAATATTTTAAATGTGAGGGGTCTAAATGATTAAGTGATAAGTATGAGAGAATGTAGGTATAATTTACTCATTTAATTTTAGATGATAAACTGACATATGTTAGTTTTAAGTGTACGTTGATATAAATTTTTATCTTTAAGAGTACAAATTAAAAAATTTAATCATTAAATATACAAATTAAAATTCCTAACTATTTTCTAAGGTACAAATTGTTATTAACCCTAATTTCATTTGAACAAACTTGCCTCTCTTAATCAATATGAACAAGATAAGTTCATTCCATGTCCTAACCACCCCCACCAACCACGCAAGTATCAGTCGACCACCCACTGAGAAGGGCATTTTCGTACTTTAAACTGTCGAACTCCTTTAAACACACACCGCCACCTCCACCACACCTTGCACATCTTCTCTCTCTCTCTCTCTCTCTCACGTTCCACCACCCACCCAAAAACCAACCACTGCCATGGATCCCGTCAACGATTGGGGCAACACCCCTCTCGCCACCGTCGACCCAGAAATCCACGACCTAATCGAAAAAGAAAAACGCCGCCAATGCAGAGGAATCGAGCTAATCGCCTCCGAAAATTTCACCTCCTTCGCCGTCATCGAAGCCCTCGGCAGTGCTTTAACCAACAAGTACTCCGAAGGCATGCCCGGAAATAGATACTACGGAGGCAACGAATTCATAGACGAGATCGAAAATCTCTGCCGATCTCGAGCTCTCAAGGCCTTCCACCTTGACCCCACCAAATGGGGCGTCAATGTACAGCCTTATTCGGGTAGTCCAGCCAATTTCGCTGCTTATACAGCTGTGCTCAACCCACATGATAGGATCATGGGTCTGGATCTGCCTTCTGGGGGACATTTGACACATGGGTATTATACTTCTGGTGGGAAGAAGATCTCTGCGACTAGTATCTACTTTGAATCTTTGCCTTATAAGGTAACAATTTGTTCGAATAACTGTTAAGTCAAGATGAATCTAGGAGCGGAACTTCTTTCAATGTAGTTAAATGCCCTCTTAAATCCAAATTATGGATCCATCCATGAATTTGGCAACTTTGGTTAATAGGAAAAAGTATACAATTGAAGATGGGATAGGTTGGTTTGTTAATTTTTGGGTTGTTCTTATTTTGATATTCTGTGTTTAATGTTCTTTGCTTGTTTTGTTTATATTAGGTGGATTCGAAGACTGGGTATATTGACTATGATAAGTTGGAGGAGAAAGCAATGGATTTCAGGCCAAAATTGATTATTTGTGGAGGGAGTGCGTACCCGAGGGATTGGGATTACAAAAGATTCAAAGCAGTTGCTGACAAATGTGGGGCTCTTTTGCTTTGTGACATGGCTCATATTAGTGGCCTTGTTGCTGCTCAGGTATTATTCCTGTCGATTTTTTTGCTATAATTTTCTTGTTATTTCTGTNCTCATATTAGTGGCCTTGTTGCTGCTCAGGTATTATTCCTGTGGATTTTTTTGCTATAATTTTCTTATTATTTCTGTTTTTTTATTTAAGCTTTACACGGGTTTAAATTTGTTCTTGGTTTCTAATAATGGATCTGTGGAGATTTGGGTTCTGGTTGGTTAAATTAGGTTGCATTTTGGGAGTTGGGATTTGGGGTTTTGTTATGTTTTTGTTTAGTGATGTTGGGCATGGTGGTCGGTTATCATACGGTTTGGAGATCTGCATTTGGGAATTTGAAATGTTGGTTCAATACTGACGGGGTATCATTTTCTTATATGTTCTTAGTCTTGGTTATTAGATCTGTGTACAAAGATCCATGAATTATGTTTTTAAATTGAGTAATACTATTTGGACCTAAAAATTTGACCTAATTTATTTACATAATGATTTGGCTTCAATAGAACTATTGGATTAACACCAAGTTCCAATGTTTGATGGGCTCCACAGNTACAAAGATCCATGAATTATGTTTTTAAATTGAGTAATACTATTTGGACCTAAAAATCTGACCTAATTTGTTGACATAATGATTTGGCTTCAATAGAACTATTGGATCAACACCAAGTTCCAATGTTTGATGGGCTCCACACTCAATCCAAAGGTCATAGTGAATTAGGTCAGCAAATTAGGTTAGTAAATTAGGTCTCAATAGCATTGCTCTTTTAAATTTCATGTACCAGGAAAAATGTTTTTGCAGTAGATTTATCTGAATTGGTTCCAATACGACGTATGAAATTTGGGTGTTGCTTGTGTAAATCTGTGCTTTTTCATTGTTTTAGTGATGTAAGTGTTGTGTGTTTGAATAGGCTACAGATCTTCATTCCTGTCTTAAATTTTCAGTTAAGAATTCCGTTTATGAGATGTTCAAGTTGTTTTGGCATTGGGATTCTGATCCACAAAGAATTTAAATATGCAAGATTTCTATNCTTGTGTAAATCTGTGCTTTTTCATTGTTTTAGTGATGTAAGTGTTGTGTGTTTGAACAGGCTACAGATCTTCATTCCTGTCTTAAATTTTCAGTTAAGAATTCCGTTTATGAGATGTTCAAGTCGTTTTGGCATTGGGATTCTGATCCACAAAGAATTTAAATATGCAAGATTTCTATTTTATGATTATGTCGTAGATCTGAAGACTATTTAAGTAAATTGGTTGCTTGTTGGTGATGATTTGTTTTTAATGACATGTGGTCACAATGGTATCATGAACTGTCTCTATTTAATAGATGTATGGAAATTAATTTGGTTGGAAAAGGCTGCCGACTAAATGGCTGGATCTAGAGATTGGGAAATGTAAGACGTGGGGCAGAGCTTAGGTTTATTCAAATGCCTGGGATTGGGGTTTTGAGTATAATTTATTTTATTACATTGGAATATCATCACATTTTCTATTAAATATACTCAACTTCAGAAATGTGTGTGAGAACTAAATTATCATTTGTTGGTGTCTGTGCAAATGACAATTTAAATTAATGATAAGTAGTACATATTATCAGCATCGACTTCTTTCTTAAAAACAAATGGGTTGTACTTGTATGTTCTTGATTATTGACTCTAACTTGTTGCTTAGGTGATTAATTCTAATAATTTCCCTTTTTTTGTGGGTGTAGGAAGCTGCAGATCCTTTTGAGTACTGTGACTTGGTCACAACCACAACCCACAAGAGCCTGAGGGGACCTAGGGCTGGTATGATCTTCTACAGGAAGGGCCCTAAACCAGTCAAGAAGGGTCAGCCAGAAGGTGCAGTTTACGACTTTGAGGACAAGGTCAACTTTGCCGTTTTCCCCTCTCTCCAGGGTGGTCCTCACAATCACCAGATTGGTGCTTTGGCCGTTGCTCTGAAACAGGCCATGTTGCCCGGATTCAAGGTCTATGCTAAGCAAGTCAAGGCCAATGCAGTTGCCCTTGGAAACTGCCTGATGAGCAAAGACTACAAGCTCGTCACTGGTGGGACTGAGAACCACCTTGTTCTGTGGGATCTTCGTCCTCTTGGATTGACTGGTAAAAAAGAGTTGTTTAGTTTAATGGGAATCGATTGTGATATACATTGAAAGTTGAAACATAGCAATATGTCTTAATAATCTTTTGCTACTGTTGCAGGCAATAAAGTTGAGAAGCTTTGTGACCTATGCAACATTACTGTGAACAAGAACGCTGTTTTTGGTGATAGCAGTGCCTTGGCTCCTGGAGGGGTTCGGATTGGTAATTACTGTTGCATCAAATACCCTAACCTTTTAGAATTAATTGTAAATAGAAGTTTTGGTGTTAAATCATACCTTTCATTCTTTCTGTTGGCAGGTGCTCCGGCCATGACTTCAAGAGGTTTGGTTGAGAAGGACTTTGAGCAGATTGCAGAGTTCCTCCACAGGGCGGTGACCGTCACCTTGAAAATCCAGAAAGAGCACGGAAAGCTCTTGAAGGACTTCAACAAGGGTCTGGTGAACAACAAGGACATTGAGGAACTGAAGGCTGATGTTGAGAAGTTTTCATCCTCATTCGAGATGCCTGGCTTCTTGATGTCCGAAATGAAGTACAAGGATTAGTTTTAAACGATATCATCAATGCTCTTATTGGTATATCTTTCTGGTGTTTGAATCCATAAAATTTTCACTTAAAGCTTCTTCATTCAATGTCTGTGTCGATGAATGATAATGTTCGTCTGTTAACTTCTCTTTTTTGGTTTTTTAGGATAGTGGTTGGATTTTTTTTTCTTCAAAATTTTAGGTGGTCTCAGGTTACGAGTGTTTTGAGATGAATTTCCATATAACAAAATTAATATATATTGTCATCACTTTCAGTCCTTTCATTCCAGGAAATGGTTCAGCACAAGAGTGCATTTCCCTTTGTAATAAAAATGTATTGAAATAAAATTTTATCTACTTCTTTTGATAAGTGGGTATAGTAGTAAAACCAATGGGTTTAATGTAATGTCATGAGCTGTTTTATGGTTTTTGTGAAACAATTTGATGATTGCTTAGGACTTTGTATGATTTGCTGCAAACACCGCCTATTATTTTCTAGAGGTGTGCAAGTGATTCAAAAATATATCAACAGTGGCCAATAAGTTCCTTGAGCATCTTTTTTGTGATATCATAACAAAAAGATGATTCTTACATGAGTTTTCCGATATTGAGTGTAACGGTTATATTATACCACGTGATGTAATTATTTAAATATTAATTAAATAAGTAGATAATGTAACTTTACTTTTTTTTTACATGGTGTGGTTGCATGGAGGGGTAATTATTTAAATGATTGGGTTTAATTTTTCCTATTTGGTAAATTATTATTGAATAATTAAATTACGTGATAAGGCTAATATGGTATAACTGTTACACTCAATATTTATTCCAGTTCCAGAACATTACAATTTAAGCAAGCATAAAGGAAGTTCCTTAAATAGATTGGTGAACATGATGCACTTTTTATATTTGGGTAGATTTTACTGGCTGTCTTGGTATTGGCTTTATTGTAGGGACATCTCCTAGAATTTTTGAAATGTCTCTTGCACTCCCTATCACGTCATGTCAGTTAACAGACTAAATAGAAATGAAATTTTATTAATTTATTTTTTAAGACTTCAACCCTATTGTTTATATTTAATTTTATTAATTCAAATATTAATTTCATCACACTAACACTAATTTTATCAATTTAACACCAAATTAATATTTTAAAATTTAATTTCAACAAATTAACATTCAGTTTATATAATGTAGAATTTAGTTTTATCAAACTAACATCAAATTGAACTTTAATTTCATCACATTGATATTTAATTTCATTAATTTAAATATTAATTTCATCACACTAACACTAATCTTATCAATTTAACACCAAGTTAATATCTACTTTCATCAAATTAATATTTTAAAATTTAATTTCATCAAAATAACATCAAATTGAACTTTAATTTCATCAAATTGATATTTAATTTCATTAATTTAAATATTATTTTGTCACACAAACACTAATTTTATAAATTTAATACCAAATTAATATTTTAAAATTTAATTTCATCAAATCTAAGTCAAATTAACATTCAACTTACTTAATTTAATATTTAATTTCATCAAATTAACATTTATTAATTCAAATATAAATTTGGTCACGCTAACACTTATTTCATGTGTTAGTCTTAAAGGTTAAGTACCTCAACAATAGCCATCCTTTAAATCAAAAAGATTTGGATTCCATATTGGTTACAGACCCAATTATATATAGTCAGACTCATTCAAAGAAATGATAGAAACAAAAACTAGCAGTCTTGACAATTAAGAATGTCAAAATATGACACGATTTATTGAAACAACATAAACATGATACAAAATCTTTGAAGTCATTCGTTTCATAAAGGAATGAGTCTGACATAATGTGATTAATAAACAAATTGAGTATTAGTGAAACAAATCAAAAAAAGTAAACAATATTACTCTTTTAATTATTAATTATACACGATTCATACACGACACGAATTCAATATGACATGATTCATTAAATATGAATTAATAATAAATCAGATATGAGTGAAATATTTTTTGATAAGAACCTATTAAGGCCCGACATGATTTACAGGCGTATTGATAATGACGACATTCGGATGGTGACCATTTGTTATTGGTCACTTGTGCGCAATAATTTTCGCACAATAAATGAACAGACAAATCTCTTCTCTAATGAACTCGAGTTCACCTTAGAAGTCGTAGGTTCCCCAACAAATAAATATTGAGTAATGGTGGTGAGGAAACTCTTTGCAAGTTATCTAATCACTCTTGGATTATCGACTGGAGTCCTATCACTGAAATAGAAAGGTTAGAAAAGCGTTGGAGTGTTTTTCGGCTTAACCTCTTTGACGATCAAGTCAGTATGTAAGAGAGGGGTGGAAAATAACTGTTTTATTGCTTGAGTGAGAATCTGTGTACCTTAGACTTGAGTTTGTGAAAACAATTTATACCTCTTTTAAGCTAATCATTACGGACTGTCAGGTCCCTTGGAGGGAAAGTTCCTCAATGGCTCATTTGGAAGGCAACAGGTGGTGCTCAGTCCTCGAGCAGCCAACCTTGCTTTTTTCATGATAGAAGTTTCTAAATTTAATGTTCAGGCCTCCATGCATTTAATAATCGCCTCTCTAAGTTCGTCGAGCAATAAATGCACCTTATTCTTTTGAAGGAAACATTTAATGTGACCTTATTATGGCTGTGCATGCACAAGGGCACTCTCGTCTATTACCACCCCTCAAGGGGTTACATCTTCTGTGCTTTGCACTTTGTTCTTCCTTATTATTGGTTATCGACCTGTCCTTCCCACCATTTTGATTGTCTTGGGAAGGGGAAGCTAATGATTGACTGCCAATTCTACTCCCAAATCATAATAATCGTCAAAATAACCAATCATACCTCATCGGTGGGAGAGCTCGACGCCGAGACAATGTGTCCGGTGGTGGTTCCTCGAGATGACACGTACGCCGAGGACACGTGTTGAGCGAATAGGGTTTTGAGAGCTCTTGACGTTGAGGACACCTGTCAAACAAGGGGTGCTCCGAGGGTTACAAATGTCGAGGATACGTGTCAATCGCAGGGAGCTTCGAGGGAACCTATGTTGAGGACACATGTCAGTTGCAGGAAGCTTCGAGGGGACTCATGCTAAGGACACGTGTCAATCCATGTAGGCTCCACATTTATCCTGCCCAGGCCATGTATCGGCTCCTTGTTAACTCATGGAAATATCCCATCATCACTGATACTCTTTAGCAACAAAAACATTGGTCGTTATTTCGTGTCTAGAAATTATTTTATATCTACTATTATGTTATTGTTTAGTGATTTTTTTTCCAAGTTGAAGGTGGTTAATGAGAGGATAACATAGATGATCCAACAAGCCATGTGCGAAGAAATAAGAGGCACTTCCAACCCATCATTTGAAGCACCACGACCTTCTTTCGACAGTGATGCACCTCTGGTGGAAGACGAGGCCAAAAAAGTGTGTTGATCGAGTTCATTTCTAGTTATGCTATATGTATATGTAAGGTTATGATTTGGAATGAGAATTAGAGTTTTTATCTTTGATTGTTTATTCAACTATGGAGGGAGGGTCGACGAGTCTTCATGGAGTGCTAAAATTATTTTATTGTGATCTTACCAACACATGTTTGAGCCACAAACATGTGCGATACAATGATATTCAAATCTCACACTAACAACATGGTAGTGTTTTAAATGAAAGATTCATACATTTTTATTATATATAAACTAGTTATTGCTTGTGTCTGAAAGCACAGAGTATAAAAAAAAAATTGTCAATCATAAACATATTTGTATTTTACTAAAAATTAAATTACAAATATAGAGGAAAGAGAAAAAAATTTANTTTTTTCATGATAGAAGTTTCTAAATTTAATGTTCAGGCCTCCATGCATTTAATGATCGCCTCTCTAAGTTCGCCGAGCAATAAATGCACCTTATTCTTTTGAAGGAAACATTTAATGTGACCTTATTATGGCTGTGCATGCACAAGGGCACTCTCGTCTATTACCACCCCTCAAGGGGTTACATCTTCTGTGCTTTGCACTTTGTTCTTCCTTATTATTGAAGGTGACGACAATAATGGTGGTAGTGGTGGTGGTGGTGGGTGTGGGTGATGGTAAGCGACGGTGGCGGTGCTTGGTAGTGGTGGTGGTGGGGCGACGACGATGGTGACGATGGTGGTGGGTTGTGGTGGTCAACGGCGACGACGGGTGCTTGTGGGTGATGGTGGTGGTGGGTCATGGTGAATGGCGGTAGTGGTGGTGCTAGATGTGGTGAGGGTGGGTGACAATGAGAAGCGACTATGGTGGTTGGTGGTGGGTTGTGGTTGTGGGTGGCACATGGTGGTGACGATGGGTGGTGTGATGGTTAGATAATGGTAGTTGTGGTAATAAATATAAGAATGAGATGATGATAGATATTTTTAAGTAAGCTCCTTCATTTAGAGGGTCTATTTTTTNTGGTTGGTGGTGGGTTGTGGTTGTGGGTGGCACATGGTGGTGACGATGGGTGGTGTGATGGTTAGATGATGGTAGTTGTGGTAACAAATATAAGAATGAGATGATGATAGATATTTTTAAGTAAGCTCCTTCATTTAGAGGGTCTATTTTTCCTACTAAATTTGGAGAGTTAATATTAACCGTCAAATTAATTTTAAAGTAAAATTTAAAACGATCTCAAATACAAAATGCAAAAGTCATTTTTTATGTCTTCAATCTTTGTATTTTTTTATATAGACTAGTTATTACCCACGTCTAAAGGCACAGTAATAACAAAAAATTATCAATTATAAACATATTTGTAANTTTTTCTACTAAATTTGGAGAGTTAATATTAACCGTCAAATTAATTTTAAAGTAAAATTTAAAACGATCTCAAATACAAAATGCAAAAGTCATTTTTTATGTCTTCAATCTTTGTATTTTTTTATATAGACTAGTTATTACTCATGTCTAAAGACACAGTAATAACAAAAAATTATCAATTATAAACATATTTGTATTTACACATAAAAACTAATATCAAATCACAAATATAGAGAAGAGAGAAAGAAATTTAAGCACTAGTTGTAATGGAGGTGAGCAGGGGTAATGATGGTGGAAGGCAGTGGTGGTGGTCAACGGTGGTGGTCTACGACNTATTACTCATGTCTAAAGACACAGTAATAACAAAAAATTATCAATTATAAACATATTTGTATTTACACATAAAAACTAATATCAAATCACAAATATAGAGAAGAGAGAAAGAAATTTAAGCACTAGTTGTAATGGAGGTGAGCAGGGGTAATGATGGTGGACGACAGTGGTGGTGGTCAACGGTGGTGGTCTACGACTTTCGTCGTGGTGGTGACAGTCATGGGTGACAACGGTAATGATTGTAGTGGATTTTGAGCGACGACGGTGGTGATGGTGGACAATGGTGATGGATGTTGGCAGTAGTGGTGGTGGTGGAACGACGACGATGGTGGTGGAGGGTGTAAGTGATGATGAGCGACGATAGGTGTTTATAGGCAATNTCTACGACTTTCGTCGTGGTGGTGACAGTCATGGGTGACAACGGTAATGATTGTAGTGGATTTTGAGCGACGACGGTGGTGATGGTGGACAATGGTGATGGATGTTGGCAGTGGTGGTGGTGGTGGAACGACGACGATGGTGGTGGAGGGTGTAAGTGGTGATGAGCGACGATAGGTGTTTATAGGCAATAATGATAGTGGATGGTGACAGATGACAGTGGTGGTAGTAATGGTAGGTGTGGTGAGGGAGGGTGACAATGGGTGGCGGTGGGCTATAATGGTGATGGGACGATGGTGGTAGTGATAATAAATATAAGATTGAAATGATGGTGGATTTTNACAGTGGTGGTAGTAATGGTAGGTGTGGTGAGGGAGGGTGACAATGGGTGGCGGTGGGCGATAATGGTGATGGGACGATGGTGGTAGTGATAATAAATATAAGATTGAAATGATGGTGGATTTTTTTTTATTAAACTCGTTCATTTAAGGGGCCTATTTTCTTTATTAAATTGGGGAAGTTAATATTAGCTGGCAAATTAACTAAAATTTAAAATGATCTCAATCGCAACAAAAGTCATTTTTTATGTCTTCAATATTTGTACTTTATTATGTAAACTAGTTATTGTCTGTGCCTAAAGATACAAAATAATAAAAAAATGGTCAACAATAAATATATTTGTATTTACACTCAAAATCAAATTACAAACATAGAGGAGATAGAAAAGAATTTAAACATTAGTTGTAGTGGGGGGTCAACGGTAGTAATGGTAGTGCTAGGAGGCGGTGATGGTTGTGGTAGATGGCGACGACTGTGATGGTGGTGACAACCGTGGATAGCAACGGTGATGGTGGTGGTGGATTTTGGATGACGATGGTGGTAGTAACAATCATAGGTGGTGGTGGGCGACAGTGATGGTTATTGGTAGTTGTTACCCCTTTAGCCCGTTGGCAGTATTGGAATAGGGCAACCTCGCCCAAAGGCGCCTATGCCTTAGCCAAAATGGCAGAAGTCTCATGCATGGCTGAGGGAGGCAGTCTATGCACATGGGCACGTGGGCACAAGTTAGCATGCAAGTAGGGAAGTCGGATAGCTTGAATTGTGGGGCAATGCTAGCTTGAAGGATTGAGCCATGGGCTGGGCCATGGTTAGGCACGAATGCAATACAATCGGATGTTGAGGGCTCATGGCACACGCACAACATGTGAGGACGTTGGCATGTGCCCTGCAGATGGTGGCAAATCTGGGCAATTTCTGGCAAGTGTACAACATGTGAAATCTCTGTCAGATTCAGATAGTATGCAAAGAAGTTACAGACAGTTCCTGGCTAGGTCAGCCACTAGTTACAACTTACTTTAACATTCAATCACAGCAGACTTCTAGAAAGATTTGAATTGTATGTAGTTGCTTAGGCGGTTGGGCTTATAACCGCCACCCTGGACATTATAAATAGGATGTCTGGGTGTACAGTGCAACCAAGAGAGTTGGGTACGTTTTTGTAAGCACACCCAAGGCTGAGTTTCCTTATACTTTATTGAGAAAGAAATGTATGGCCTGTTGGCCTGTAAAGCTTGTGTGTTCTATGTGTATGTTGCTAACTGTCCCTTCTTTGTTTTTATGTGCATTCTATGTACATTCTAAGTGTTTGGTTGAGACTAAGTGTAGGATCTTAGAGCTATCACGGGACACAAATTTGGTGAGAAATTTAACCTCGTGACAGTAATGGTGATGGTAAGGCGACGACAATGGTGATGGGCAATGACGATGGTGGTAATGGGTTACTATAGGTGCTACTGAGTTACAATGTGATGGGTGGTGGTGGTGGGTGACAGTGGTTGGCGGTTATAGTGGGCGACGACAGGTGGGTTGTGGCAGTGGGTGGTGGTGATTGCTAACGATGGGCAATAGTGGTAATAGAATTAAATATAAGAATGTAATGACGATGGTGGTAGCAATCAGTGGTAGGTGACGATGATAGTAAGGGTGGTGGTAGGGGTGATGGTGGAACAACAACAATGGTGATAAGGTGGTGACAACGGTGGTGGTGATGATGGTGGCAATGTGGTGACAGTGGAGGTTGTGAAAGTGGCAACAGTGATGATGGTGGGGCAATGCAGGGTGGCAACGGTGGTGGTGGTGGTGGCGCCGGCAATGGTGGAGTTGGTGGTGGCTACAAGTTGACGATAGCAGTGATGGTGATGGTGGCGCAATGGGGTGGTGGTAGGGTAACAACAACGATGGTGGTGGTGGNTTAGGCGGTTGGGCTTATAACCGCCACCCTGGACATTATAAATAGGATGTCTGGGTTTACAGTGCAACCAAGAGAGTTGGGTACATTTTTGTAAGCACACCCAAGGCTGAGTTTCCTTATACTTTATTGAGAAAGAAATGTATGGCATGTTGGCCTGTAAAGCTTGTGTGTTCTATGTGTGTGTTGTTAACTGTCCCTTCTTTGTTTTTATGTGCATTCTGTGTACATTCTAAGTGTTTGGTTGAGACTAAGTGTAGGATCTTAGAGCCATCACGGGGCACATATTTGGTGAGAAATTTAACCTCGTGACAGTAATGGTGATGGTAAGGCGACGACAATGGTGATGGGCAGTGACGATGGTGGTAATGGGTTACTATAGGTGCTACTGAGTTACAATGTGGTGGTGGTGGTGGGTGATAGTGGCTGGCGGTTATAGTGGGCGACGACAGGTGGGTTGTGGCAGTGGGTGGTGGTGGTGGTTGCTAACGATGGGCAATAGTGGTAATAGAATTAAATATAAGAATGTAATGACGATGGTGGTGACAGTGGATGATGGTGGTAGCAATCAGTGGTAGGTGACAATGATAGTAAGGGTGGTGGTAGGGATGATGGTGGAACAACAACAATGGTGATAAGGTGGTGACAACGGTAGTGGTGATGATGGTGGCAATGTGGTGACAGTGGAGGTTGTGAAAGTGGCAACAGTGATGATGGTGGGGCAATGCAGGGTGGCAACGGTGGTGGTGGTGGTGGCGCCGGCAATGGTGGAGTTGGTGGTGGCTACAAGTTGACGATAGCAGTGATGGTGATGGTGGCGCAATGGGGTGGTGGTAGGGTAACAACAACGATGGTGGTGGTGGGATGATAGTGGTAATGGTGGGGTTGCAATAGTAGTGGTGGCGAAAACGATGGTGGTTGTAGTGGTGATGGTGGGGAGTGGTGGTGTGATTATAGGGGTGGCGTGATTGTGGTGAGGATAGTTGTGGTGGGGATAGGAGTGATGGTGATGGAGCTATGGGGATGATAGTAGTTACGAGGTTCCAAACACTATTTTTTTTTTTTAATAATTATGAAAAATTTTAAATTCTAAAAACACTTTTAAAAAATAACTCAAAACACACCCTTAAAAACCTATTTTCCTTGTTAAATTTGAGGTGTTAAGATTAATGGTTAGATTAACTTTAAAGTAAAATTTAAAAAAATCTCAACCGCAACAAATAAAAATTATTTTATTTATCTTTTGAGACTTGAATTGTATTGAACTTTATTATATATATATACAAATGTAAATTCATACATTGCAAATATATTTTCATCTCAAAGAAATATTCATTCTTTCAACAAATTCCATTAATTTGGTAATTCTCTGCATGAAAAAATAAGATAAAAAACAGAGACAAACAATATACTAGAATAGTCCCTAATATGTATTGTGACCATTAGATTAATAGTAAGATTCATATGATATTGGAACCCACCGACAAACTAATGGCGACCCACAATCATTAAATTCTCAAATTATATACTAATAACATTGCTCTCGAATAATTGATACCCTATAAGCAAAGAAATTCTGGGAAGTTCCCTCACTTTCATGCATGAAGAATGAATTGATGCCTCTGTATCTATGTAGTAGTATTTTAAAAAAACAAAACACCCATTCAAGTGCTCCAAGCATTGTGTTCATCACAGGCCTCAAACACTTCAAAAAAAGAGTAACATAAAAATGCACAAATCATAAAATTAGTACAGGATCTGGAATTACAAATCAACAACTTTACATACAAAAGCTCTCACAATATCTCCTTCCCGGTGTTCATAATATCAGAAATTATATTGAATGGCGCTTTAAGAGCTGAGCTATAGCTATAATCTTTTATACAACACAATGATTTCTTGTTCATGGTTCCGATTTCAGAAAGCACCTAGTGTGAAGCTCCACCCGAATTAAGACCCGAGGAGAATAATATTCAGTTGAATGAACTATCAATCAAATATCTCCTGGGCTTCAATTATACTATGCTGGCTGAAAAAAAAGAAAGAGAGAGAACTAGAGAAGTAAGGTTTTATCGTACATAGTACGAGTATGTTTAAAANAAAAAAGAGAGAGAGAACTAGAGAAGTAAGGTTTTATCGTACATAGTACGAGTATGTTTAAAATACATTAGTAAGAGAAGATAAGAGGGGAAGGGACAATTTATCAGAACAAGTAGACAAGATGATATAATTAGGCTTACTGGTCATCTTTTGTAACCCGATAGTATTTTTCTGCATGCTGGCGTTGACCAATTAATTGAGCAAACCGCTCATCATGTGTGATTACTATCAGTTGAAAATTCTCCTGGCCTTTTCTGTCTTCCATAATTCTGGTGAAGTTGGGGAAGAGAGATGAGGTAAATGAAAGTCTATAGTTCATCATGGACTCTCAAGTGAATATACGAATGGCCCATACCTCAGAAGAGCTGCAGCAAGACTCTCGGCATTTGGGGCATCTAAGTTGGTGGTTGGCTCATCAAGAGCAAGTATTCCACAGTTTAAGCAGAAAGTTTCAGCTAACGCAAGACGTATGATAAGTGAGGCAAGGACCTGAAACCAGCTGAACAATCTTTAAAAGGGAAGAAGAATAATTGAAAGGGGGGCACAAATGTGAGACTGAACCGAAATCCCAACTTTAAAACAACAATCTATGCGAGAAAAAAAAGGTTATAAGATACAATGTTTGCTTAATATTTGCAATGATCAGCAACCTTTTGGCCAGCACTGCATCTTCCCCGCATTTCCAGCTCTGCATCACCAGTTTGCATTAAAACCTGTAGATTACAAAAGAAACAACACAAATATTATGTTATGAAAATTGTACAGAGCAGAAAGGGTTAAAAATGAATTTGTTGTCACCTTATAACTGTAAGATCGAGTACCAGCACCTTCAGAATCTGAATGAATGCTTATGTAATCTATATCCTGTCCCCTGTATGTCTGCTGCCATAATTCTCTTATAATCTTATTTATTTCTTCCATTTTCATTGTGTGGAAGCGCATGAGTGCTCTAAATAAGACAGATCAAAGGGTATCAAGGCTCATATTGGAACAAGCACTCAAGCAACTGAAGTAAAATGTTAACACAAAATCTGTGAATAATTTCAAAAAGAAAGATGAGTGTTTTCCATGAAAAATGACAAGTGGAAGCATCAACAAGATCTCATGGTTTGTGCAACCATAGGCCAATCCACTACTTTAATAGGTCTCAAAAGACTCAAATTCCTTCATACCAGGTGCTCAAAGTAAATCATTTATTATTACAACTTTACATCTTAAGAAACTACTGAAAATACTAATTGTTTTGTTAGGCGCATAAAATACCGTATACAAATATACATATATATTCTTAAATAATTCAAAATTAAGCAAATAAATGAAGAATGTATCCCCCTAAATGAATTAGGTAAAAAAAATGCAATACTAAAAGAAATGAAATGTCAAACTTGTTGAAAAGCTCACTTGTCAAGTGCATTGTAATATCTGTCTAGGTCCTTGTTTGCCATCTCAGTTGTCTGTCACAAAAGTATTAGGTTAATCATATGATTAGAAACTTCAAACTGAGTAAATAGTTAAGCAGTTACTTCTGTTTCACCTTGAGCTGGATTAGCTGATCAAAATATCGTTTGTCAATGTCTTTGTACTGCGCCTGTTTAAGATCAATCTTATTTTTTGTAATATTGCTCTGATATACAGACATTGTCCCATGGTACCTGTTTAACTGCCAAAAAGAAAAAGAAAATCACCTTTCCATTTCTCATAATAAGATAGGTCAATGGACCAGAATTTGACACCAAACAAAAAAAAAGGATTAACTAAGTAGAATGTTATAAGTACAAAAGCCACCAAAACAGAGAAATATTTATGTACAACAATTGGACAATTTTAAAGATACAAATGGAATGATCAATTGGAAACTATTTAAGACATAATATTCTAGGAAGAAACAAAATTTTCAGGAAGATGCTAAATATCATTCATTGTGCACCATTTCCTCTAGCTCCTGAAAAAGACATTATATGGACTGGATTAAAAGAGTCAGTCATCCTAAAATTAGGATTCATTTCTTGTCACAAATATTCCCTTGTAGCATACCATATCTCAATGGATTGATGTAATTTTTCTACCGCTTGTACATTCCCATAATGATGGTGTTTTTCCAAAATTAAACTTTGTTGTTCAGCATCTTGAACTAGCCATCCCTTAGAAGGTATTGTTAAAAGATCATCAATTCCTAATGAAATGGATGTAGCAGTAGCTTGTTGAAAACCCAGAGTCTTTACTTGATCCAGGATATGTG